TAAGCTTGACGTCGCCGGCTTTCTCAGCAGGACCAGGAACTAAAACAGCACAAAGTACTGCACCGAAAAGTCTCACAAGACGCAGTCGCAACAACAAAAAAACGAAGCAAAACCGTTAAGAGACTTTTATCGAGCGCTCGCAAGCGCAAGCTAATCTCCCATCTCTCGTGGCTTTTCTTTCGCTCTCCTCTTTTTCCTCCTGTCTTAAAATAACATAGCTGCCACACTGCTATGATTCGAATCGTAGACGACATTAGAAAAGCCATGAATGAAAAGAAAACCACACTGCTTGTAGCGATTGACCAAACTAGAGCCTTTGATCTAGTCAATATCAAACTACTCATTATCAAGCTCATAACCATTGGATTCTCTGACACAGCTGCTGCGTGGATGAGATCTTATCTGACTGACAAAATCCAGATTGTCGGATCACCTGATGCCGAGCTGTTTCAAACTGTATATCGGAACTCGGGTTTTCCTCAACGCAGCCTACTTGATTCTATACTTTTTTCCTTGTTCATCAACGATTTTCCAAAAGTTTGCAAGAATTGCAGCTACCACATCTACGCGAATGATTTCTGTCTCTATCTCCATGGTAGCGCCAGCAAAGCTAAGAGCATTATTCTAAAAGCAAATCGTATTCTTCGTTACATCTCTAACTAGGTGACACTCAATGGCCTCATCGTCAATAAGCGCAAAACTCAAGCTATTTGGTTTGGTAATAAAGGCATCAGTAAACGTTTAGAAAAATCTGGCTCATTGCCTGACTTGTGTCTCAATGGTATAACTATTGAACCCAGTGAGACGGTAAAATTTCTTGGTGTCACTCTAGACAGCTCACTCACATGAAGGTCTCATTGTACTCAAGTCGCCAGAAACTGCTACTCAACGTAAGCATGACCCAAGTGTTTTGGCTAGAGTCTACCTAATGATACTAAGCTACTTCTGGTTCGCTCATTAGTATTTCCTTATCTGGACTTTTGTGTACCTTTGCTGTATGGATTGTCTGCTGAGATGGAAACTAAAATGAGTAGATGCATGAACGCTGCACTCCGCTTTGTCGATAATCTGCTCAAGTCAGAGCACATTACTCCAGTCTACAAAAAGTATGGTATCGTTTCTTTCTCTAGCAGAAGGCTCTATATCCTTCTGTGCCTCCTTGAAGGCGTATTAAAAAACAGGATCCCTGATATACCTGGCAGAGCTCTTTGAATTTAAGACGAGATCTTCCAACACCGTCGCCCTTCGTAATGCGAATGCCCTGGAGTTGCAAATACCACATACTAACTTGGATGTATATAGAAATTCATTCACTGTTGGAGCTGCTCGAGAGTGGAACAACCTACCTTCGGGCCTACGCACCCCATCACTCACTTAGGCTAAGAGCCGACTCCTAAAAGTTATCAAAGAACGAGACCACCATTTAAACGCTTAGTGATTGATCTTACATCTGTGTCCTTATATACTTAACTTTTTTTAATTTAGAAACAATTAACTTTTGGAAATAATCAAATACTGTTGTTTTGCCTGTCCTAAAAGTTTAAAAATCTGTAAGACCTAAAATAAACCGAGATGAATTGTCCTTAATAAATAAACAAATTAAACTTAATTAAGTACGACTTCAGGTTTTCAGTGAGTCCTTGTTAACCTCATTGTGAGTAGCCATGTGTTGTAACATCCTACCTCGCGTGACATCATTCTTAGTTAAAGTGTTAAAAAAAAAGTGTGGATACTGTAACACCTTTGAGCTTTGCTCAAATTTGTCACAAAAGAAGTGTCATTTAGATTCAATGATTACAGTTAAAAATTTTTCTCAGAGCATCTACATAATCGACACTCAGAGATAAAGTTTAGTCAATCTCCTACCAAAATACCACAAAGAAAAGAAACATTAGTGTACGTATTAATTCAATACATTTATATACTTATATACTTTTTTGCTTCGGTAGTACGGTGGCTTAGGCTACGGTTCTTGTAGCTCGGGGGCTTGGTAACGCATGCTCACGAGTTCGAAACTTGGCCTTTTACTCATTTGACTCGCTTCTCTGAGAATCTACTTTCTCATGTGCGTATTCCGACTATGGTCTAATCATTCGGAAGCCATGTAAAATAAGGTTCCCTCTGCTGTCTGAGGCGGTTTTTCACTATGCCAATGATAATAGCATATATATAGTAATACAGCAATGTAGAGCGTGTTAGGCACAGTTCTCAGAAATGGAGTAAAAATAGGAAAAAAAAATATTTTTGTTATCCATTAAAACCGTAAGTCATTTTGAGTTTTAGAAAGTAAGTTCATGAGTTTTTAAGAGTAATTTCGATGCCTCGGAAGACAGTGCATCATCAATATCATCTGCTTAATCAAAATCTAAACAATTTACAAGTAGTAAGTCTATTTCCAACCAAATATATTTATAATGTATGTAAATATATTACAGTAAAATTTTACTTTTTGTGCAAGAAAAGTATACATGTATACATAACTTAATTTTTTTAGTATACTAAATAGAGGGCGAAACGCTCAGGCTATCATGAATTTTGTTCGTGCTGACTAAAATCAAACTATCATAATCTACTGTTTCGAATGAATGTTTATTGATGCTGATGAATTTTATTGCACTATAATGTAAAATTTCTGACAGATAAACATTAACTAGTTCAATAGAAGACAAAAGTAATGTTTCATTAAATATTGCTAAATTAAAGTTGTAGAAAATAAATCAAGTGTCTATAACTTAGATCAATAAATTAATAAGATTAATAAAGTCAATATTGACCAATGATACCATTGATCCAATTCATCCAAAAGTAAAGGCTGTTATGAAATTCATGAATAAAGTTAGTCCCAGCTGCAGGTAAGCTGAGAGTAGTGTTTAATCTCAATCTGATAAAAAGAACTAAAACATGATGAAATTCTACTTACGATATGCTTGAATGTTTTATATCTTTGTTAAATTTAATCGCTCTAACACTGATTTAAATCCCTGATTTAATAGAAACGCTTACGGCGTTTGAATTGATCACTAACGATAAGAGCACTACTCATTCGACTAAACTAATTTAATGCAGCTACTCATATTTGAAGTAGGTAACATTATATGACAAGAAGTTAATATGTACGTGTAATCAAAACATCAAAAAATGAATTAACACAAATAGAAACCTGCTCGGAACTGTATATTTAACAAATTCCCTAGATAAACAGTTTTATAAAAAATTGAATAATTGTCTTATCATTGTAACTTTTAATTATTTTTTATAAAGTCATCTTACTTCCCTTCACTGACCTTGAATAATATTGAATATTGGAGCTTCGATAGCTTAGTGGTTAGCGTGCTAGCCTCCTAGCCGGAGATACTCGAGGGGTCGTAGGTTCGAATCCCGTCGACAATTATCGAGATTTTTCTTGGGCTTGGTACCCAGGATGCCGAAACATCATTTATTAATTTTTAAAATGAATAGTCGATTTTTCTAGTGATGTCTGGACCTTCAGGGGCTGCCTTTTCGAAGAAAATCCAACACCTGGCTAGCTCATCGGGTAATGTCACTATTGGTTATAAAAAGGTCGGTACAGCGAGTTAGATGGTTTATTGGAAAATATCTTTCCATTAAACTTGATAATATCTGGGTATGTTTAAGTCAATCGCTGCGCCCTGTAAATAGTACCCAGTAGGATAGATGACTGATTCGTCTGAGGGGAACTTTGCAAGAGGCCCGCACTAAAGAATCTCGTATTTGGGGAAATAAGGGATGGTAATTGTGGAAAAAAGAATCAAGAAATATATGGATTAGGGACATATACTTTAGAATCCTAATACAATGCAATACAATCCTTGAATATCTACTTTTAAATACTTATTATAATCTATTTTTTGACACCGCCTAGAGGCAAATAGATGGACTGTACACATACAAGCAGTAAATAGTTAATGCTTTTATATTACTAAGAGTAAGAACAAGAATTAATTCATGTCAATTGTATTTTAATTTCTCAAAAAGTATAGCTTTTTTATAAAATAAGTGATTAACTACGAGTGTACGGCATAATAGTCATTTATATATAATTTTTAATTCTACATAGTTATGCAGTAATACAAACCGTCGAAGTATTGAGGTGGCTCATTATTATGAGTCACGTAATTTAATAAATATTTATTTCATGAGATCCTGAAAGTTAAGAGGTATAAAAAGTTATTTTCTTTAGTATATATTATACTGTTAGGACTATTCGCTACGTGCAGTAATCTGAAATAGCGCCACCTGCACGGGAAGAAGGAGGCGATGCTGGATAAGACGATTACATAGCCTGTTATGGGCTGCATACTTTGTAAATTAATTTTTGTAGTTTTAAAGCATTTTCGATACTTGAAGTATCGGTTTTTAGTGTCAAAAATTTGTTTTAAACAGATAACAACTATCACTTTATAGTTACAAAAAAAAAAAAAAAAAAAAAAAAAAATTTTGTTTCAAATTACTTCTGTCAAAAATTTAACACAGTAACCTAAGCTCCTTCAAGAGAGACAAAAAACTTATTTTGATAATTTCCTATAAANGTTATTGCTGCTTTGAAATTCCATAATACTTTGTACAGTAATTTCCAGTGGTTCCTGAAACTACATGAATAAATTCGTGGCCAATAAGATGTTGCCTATCACTTTATAGTTACAAAAAAAAAAAAAAAAAAAAAAATGAATGTATCACAAAATCATTTTCTGCTCAAAACAAATTCTTACCACTAAAAATCCAGACTTTAAGTATCAAAAATACATTAAAACTACAATAATTAATTAACAAAGTTTGCAGCTCATAACAAGCTATGTCATCGTGTTATCCAGCATCGCCTCCTTGTTCCCGTCCAGGTGGTGCTGTTTCAAATTACTGCACACAGTAAGTACATTGTATATTGACACACACGCCATACTATTAAAGACAAAACTAGTATCTCTTTACGTTATCACTTTTAAAATTGAATAATTGACTAACGATGTACTATTACTTTTCAGAACGCCTTGATCAGACAGTAGAGCAATTAGCTCCTGCTGCCGCTGTTGCCAGTAAAATTTTGAAGAAAGGCTTAAGCTTAACTCAAATTTACACTAAGTTAGTAGAAGTGACTAATGATTTGCACTTGGAAAAAGAAGAAAATGAAAAACTTAAATCTCAAATGGAAATTATTTTGAGAGAATTAGAGGAAAAAGCTCCCGTTTTACAACAACAAAGAAAAGATTATGAAACTGCAGTGTCCAACATTTCCACTCTTACTCTGCGAATAGATGAGTTACTAACAGAAAACAGTTTTCTGCAAGAAAATAAAAATGAAGCAAAACGATTAGCTAATCACAATGCTAAGGAAAATCAAAGATTAAAGTCTGAGGTAGCTGATCTTGCGAGGCAGGTATGCTATCTGCTAAAAGAAGTGCAAGAAAATCGTACAGGCATGACGCTTTCTGAAACAAAAGTTACTATCGAAGCCAATACTTTACCATCTTCTCAAATTATTAGTAAAAAACTAGTAACTTTTAAAGACATCGAAGAACTACAAGAAAATAATCAGAAATTACTTGCGATCGTTAGAACTTTATCCTCAAGACAAGAAGAAATTGAGAAAACAACAGATCAAGTAAATTCGGGAGAATTAAAAAAAAAACTTGACAGGTATGTTTTATTCGAATTGTTGTAGGCACTAAAAAATGTCTTCGTTATTCATAAAAAATTTTTGTAACACCGCATTTAAAAAAAATTTTGTTTCAAATTACTTCTGTCAAAAATTTAACACAGTAACCTAAGCTCCTTCAAGAGAGACAAAAAACTTATTTTGATAATTTCCTATAAATTTTATTCTCATACTGTTACGGTAGTGTTACATCACGGGTTGATACAGACAAATCATATTATAAGTAAAAATGAAATTCACCCATAAAATTTATACAAGACGTATTATGTATATACAGCAAGCTCATATGACAAGTGGAGTTCATACGTCACTTATATGAGTGTGTGTGTATTAGCTTTCAAGTGAGTATTTCATAGTATACTGACGTATATTATGGCCAGCCTCGTTGTAAGGATGCATGTATGTATTAAAATTGTTCGTTACATGTATGAATGCATAAATCGTATTGTATCTATGAATCAATAGTTTACTTATAAAATCTCCAAAAAAATTAACTGCGAAACTTGTAAACTTATTTGTCACACTTGAACTTGTATTTAGCGTTCTTTATTGCTGATGTGAGCTTTTATCATCACTGATCCAAAAAACTTAATTGCACTTGTCAAAAAAATGCGATTGGTACTGTTGTATTATTATTTCCTAATAAATTAAATAATAACATGTAACATCATCGTGCAAGCTTACTATTTTACTGTCAACGCAGTCTGCAAGAACATCGCTCATTGGTTGATCTAATTCAACCAGAGGCCTCTTTTACTCACTCTGACGCCATAAAAACGCACCATCAACTGGAAAAATCCCTTTTTTTACGTCCGTCACCTGTCCTCCAATGTTTTAGTCTACTCTTGACTCCCGTGACTCGCGAGTACTTCACACACATAAGGCATAACGTGTTGGCTGGGCAACTCGGACGCATTTCGAGAACATCAATAGTATCGGAATACGCTTAGAAGCGAGGTACAACGACGGAGTCCCGCTGAAAGAAGTTCTGGCGATAGCAGAGAAAGCAGAAACTGCAATATCTTACTGGCCACAAACTCATTCGTGTAGTTCAAGGAACCACTGGTAAGAAAGGACTGGCGTCTTCTGACGAGTTTCCTCCAATTTTTCAGGGCATGTATATATAATTTTTTTGAATGGTTTTTTTCTTTACAAAACTAAGGGTACCTTTACATAGAAGACCTGTTGTTTAGTAACTGCCAGTCAAAGCTTTCTTGTCTTGTGAAAGTGAAAAAGAGGTTAGATGTGGTCACGTAATGAATCTGTCTCTCTCTCTCTCTCTCTCTCTCTCTCTCTCTCTCACTCTTATGAGACCAGAGACCTTTGACTGGCATTTGCCAATCAGCAGGTCTTCCATGTACGGGCACCCTAAGCTTTAAAGAACACACAAGGCCAGTTTATTATGACCAGATTTATTGAGAGTATAATCTTGACTATTTTATTTTAGTGTCATTCGTGGGTCTCTTAGGGTTTAGCTTGTAAGCTTTATCTGTTTTTTTAATCGGGTAAACTTTTTATTGAAACGATATGAATAATTTATTATTTCATTAGAACAATTTGAAATAATTTATCCTTTTAAGTACAATTTACTCGGGCCACTTTAACAAAGTTCATTGTTAATTATATTACTGGTAAGTAACATACATCTATCACTAATTGTTGTTATTGCTGCTTTGAAATTCCATAATACTTTGTACAGTAATTTCCAGTGGTTCCTGAAACTACATGAATAAATTCGTGGCCAATAAGATGTTGCAGTTTCTGCTTATTCTGCTATCGTCGGAACCACTTTCGGTGGGCCTCCTTCGCTGTACCTCGTTCCTTAGCGTAGTCCGATACTATTGATGCTCTCGAACTTCACCTGAGTTGCCTCAGCCAACACGTTATGCCTTACGTGTATAAGGTACTCGCGAGTCTCGGGAGTCAAGAGTAGACTTAAACTTTAGAGGACAGGTGACATACGTGAAAAGAGCAATTCCTCCTCTTGATAGTGAGTTTTTATAGCACCAGAGCGAGTTACAGAGGCCTTTGGTTGAATTAGGTCAACCAATGAGCGATGTTCTTGCAGACTGCGTTGACGGTCAAACAGTAGGCTTGGACGATGATGTTACATGTTATTATTTAATTTATTAGGAAATAATGATGAAGCAGTACCAATCGCATTTTTATGACAAGTGTGATTGAGTTTTTTGGATCTGTGATGATGAAAGCTCGCATCAGCAATAAAATAATGCCAAATGCAAGTTCAAGTGTGACAGTATGTTTACAAATTTCGCAATTAATCCTTTTAGGGATTTTAAAATCAATTTGGACTATCATGACATAATGTGTTAATTGCACTTTTTAAATTGGTATTAGATTATTAAAAATGGACAATCAATGCGGAAGTAAACTATTTATTTATACACACAATACAATTTATGCATTCATACATGTTACGTACAATTTTGATACATACATGCAATCTTACAATGAGGCTGGCTGGATTATATGTCGGCATATTATAAAACATTTATCTTGAAGCTAATACACACACACACCCACACACACATATTACAAGTGACGTATGAGCTTCACTTTGCATATGAGCTTGCTGCATATACGTAATACGTCTTGTATGAATTTTATGGATGAATTGCATTTTTACTTATAATATGATTTATCTGTATCAACTCGGGATGTAACAGTAGAACTGAAATGAAGTTTGAATCAACATTTGCCAATTGTAGAACCTTATCAAAAATTCAATTAACAAAAATTTGTTTTTTCTAAACATCTTGATGATTTGAAATTTACCTAAAAATTATCTTCTCTCACGGAGTAATGTTAAAACTTTTGGGTACTTATTCGCTTTTCAATAGAGGAAGTTTTGTAAAGCACAAAAGAATCACACTTAAGATAGCATTATACATGCTTGTTTTATGTAGCTGTAAGTGGAATAAAAAGATTTTAGCATACGTATCTTTAAATCTCCCTCTCTCTCTTGTGCGCGAGCGCGCACGCATGTGTGTGCTAGTGTGGTCCTCATTTTGCAGGATTAGAACTCTTTAATTAATTTCAATTACCTTTAGCTATTTTTTGTTTTTATATACCTACAGTACAGATTATTGCGAGGGACCTAAATATGGCGAGCTTATCTTTAAACATAAAAATTAAATTTTTGAAAGTATTTAAGTTTTCATAAATAGTTAAGGGCGTTTTTCAATATCGTTGTATGACAAAAGAAAGTTTAAAAATACTACAAATCACTTTACGTGTGTGAAATAAAGTTGTTGGTAGGATTTCGACTAATAGTTGCTCATTTATAATTATTCGATTCCAGCACTTGCGTTTTAACATGGTAATTATTTTGCCCTTTAAGTGAAAGTGAAAATTATGCTTCTATATGCATGTAAAATAAACATGAGTTTCTATATAGTAATTTTACTGTTGTCAATAGTATGAATTTTTGTTGATTCATTAGCAGTGTAGTAATTAGGTAGAATTTCATACCGTACTAGTTACTGTGACTAAATAATTCCCCTTCACCTAATCTATGAACGTGTATCAATCTTTATGCTAGAAAAAATATTAATATTCAATTGTACAAATATAATTATCAGTATTTACATCAAGCAGCATCTATCAACACTTCTGAATATACCAAGGACCTTCAAACTAAGAACATATAGAGACATTTGAAATTAAAGTGTTAGTACTTTTAAATATCCTGGTTCTATTTAGTTAAAAAAGAAAATATGATCCAAACGACAAAAAGAAAAAAGCTTAAGAGATTTTGTTAAAAAAAAAAAAAACAAAAGGATAAAGTTGGTAAAGAATTAGTGAATGCATAAAAACACAACAGTCATCTAAGTAAGAGATGAAATGTGTTTTATTTTGTTCATTAGTTTATTTTGTAACTCACAATGGGCCCTTGTGAGGTGTTGGCCTCTAATTATCATAAAATTGTAGTATGTTGTATAACAAAAGAAGAATAAGAGACTCGTTTTTTTATCGGCGAAAAAGTGTCTTCAGGGGGTAAAAAGAACACTTCAACATAACTTCTGAAAAGAAACTTTGTTTAATATTGATAAAAAAAAAAAAAATTAAATGTTGATATAAGTCCAAAACCGAACTAAGGTAAATTAAAGTATTTCGGGACACAAAAAATTTTTAGGGAGAATTGTGACAGTGTTAAATACGAGGTCTGTCCGGATAGTATCAGGCCTACCTCTACAATTCCGCGCTGCCGTTATTGTTTATCATCTGTTGCATAGAATCCTTCAAAGTTATCCCCAATTTATTAAACAACACGGTTCCAGTGATGTTTCCACTTTTCGGAACAGTCTTGGAACTCACTTTTAGGGATGACCTTGAGTTCTCTTGTCGCATTATTCTCAACCGTTGTTTTGTCTTCAAGTCACTGACCTTTGGGTGATTTTTTTAGTTTCGGAAACTGCTAATTCATAAGGGGCTATGTTGGCACTGTACGGAGGTTTTCGCAGTAATGCAATACTGTGTTTAGTCAAAATCTGTTGCACAAGATTCGATGAATGCGCTGGCACATTATCGTGATGGATGAGATGTCATAAACATTAAAGTAGGATTGTCCATTCAAGTTATCTAAAATTCAGAGAATTTAAATCACAACCTTAAATTTTTTGTGCGTGATTGTTGTCGATACAGTGGCAAATGATATGTAGATTTGTAACATGAAAACTAATTAAAAAGTTAAATTTCATATTTTTTGACGACATTGAAATTTGAATTCAGAACGTGACCATACCAAATGTAAGTGAGGGTTCAAGCTCTCCATTTTCAACAACCGGTATCAGTTTTTAGCCTAAAATAACCTTTATTTCTTATTGTTTTATCAATATAAAGTAAATAAATCGATAAATAATCTCCGTAATGGCAATGTGAAATCGATTATATGTAATTGAGATAAAAATAAGGCGTTCGTCCTGAATTAGCTGAAGTAATGTCCTCAATTACCTTAATA